TATGTATTTACATACATGGCATTTTTTCTAACTCTTTTGCTTCCGTTTATCAAAAGGCAAATATTTTGCTTTGCGACAATAGTAGACGTTCGAATACTCACTGTGTTTCGTTAGATAATCGCACACTCATTGGCGGCAGTACAACTGTCTCTCTTGTATCTCTTTGTGCAATGTTGTATGGCCAGACCACCATACTATAAATATAGCAAAGGTATTTAATGCAAACCTAGTCTAGATATCAACCACAGTATAGACAGTAACCAACCTTTTTGGGTTGTTGTTGTAGTAGTCGTTGTTGTTGTAGTTATATTCACTCCTGAGGAAGGCACGGGGTTGTGTGCTGCTATTTAATGGCCTTCCTCAGACTTTTTCTTAGATTTCAGGGTTGTGTGCTGTATTATTATTAGATAAATAAATTTAAGTATTTGTCAAATCGTGATTTTATTAAAAGAAAATTATAAATGGTGTTGAAAAACCAAANAGTTGCTCTGGTTCAAAAGAAGTTGAGCAATTAAAATCAGAAATTATACAAAAAAGACTTGTCTTTACTGACATTTATTCTTCTAGAACTAAAAGCCATGAATTTATTAGACGCCTTAGTAATAAAATCAAACCATCAGGCCGGGTTGAAAATTTTCATTCACCTCATAGTTAACAAAAATTTACAATCCGTAGTACTTTTCTATCAATTCGCAAATGCGTTTAATTTAAATCGTTTAGAAAATGCGTCATTTATGTATACCATTTTATGTGGAATTATTCAATAAATTTCGTTTTACACTATACTTCTTGAAACTATTTGGAGTTAATTATTTTTTGTTTCTTAAAAGCAACCCTGCGTGCTTGGAAGGCGTGTGTACCAATAATTTCATCCCTAGCATATTCGTCCCCGAGGAAGGCAGTCGCCAAATTCACCGAAGGTTGTTTACTGGTTATATTGTGATATCAACCTCGTCGTAGGTATCATATCAAAGACATACTATCAGAAAAACTCTAGAGATAGATGTCACAAGTTCACAAATACACAAGCAAACTTAAGCTACTAAAGGGTCAGCTTAGCAGGTAGGTTAAGACCGGGTGATATATGAAGAATATGAAGCAGGCAAACAAAATGTAAGAATTTGGGATTTCCAAATTATTGATTATTGCTTACCCGTGTCAACCTTAACTCTCAATCTACGGTTTTTTTCGTTTAGCATTGCATGCAACATGTACATACATTTCACTCATTTATTTCAACAGTGTCATAATCCAAAAAAAAATAATCAAAAATCGACTTAAGCATGTAGAAATGGCCGCTACCTCTTCTTTCGTGCTACGTAAAAATTTCGTGGCTGTGACCAGTAGCTCACTAGAGCAAAATATGAGTTGCGCTCCCTAACTCGCAAGAAGTTGCAAGAATTTACCAGAAAGCGTTCCCGTACTCGGTTCTCTGGCAAAGATTTTACCCGAAGAATTTTTGCTGGTAAAAACTTGTAAAGTGTCAAACCATCAGCTGTTCCGTATTGTCAAAGTAATTTGAAAGTTGAATAAATAAATACAAAACACCATCTGCATTTTCATTTTATTAAAAATCGTGTTATTAACGAAGAAATGTCGAGCTTTGTAAGTATTTTTGTCTATTTGACTGCATATTCGGAGTGTTAGTGTTTATAATTATAAAAACACAGGCAGTTTCTGAGGAAGTAACCGGCACGGATACTAGGGCCGCAGCCATTGCTGAACTAATGGATTCATCGAGTGATTCCAGCGATAGTGAGATGTTTGAAGCAACTTTAGCACAAATAAGTCACAGGCAGATTGTTCTCTTTAACGAAGTGGCAAAACTCTTTCTGAAACAAACGAGGAATAGCATAAAAAACTATTTAGTAGATGTGATGCCTATGTATTCGGAATATGAGTTTAGACAACACTTCCGTATATCAAAGCAGCTATTCACCAGCTTGGCAATGCGGTTGGAAGTAAACGAAATATATACGAGATTGCGATCAGATAAACGCCTTCCAGCCACAAGTTATATGGCAATATTTTTATGGTTCGCTGGCCATGAAGCGTGTAGTTATCGAGATCTATCTGATCGCTTTGATATTGCAATTTCAAGCGTTTCTCGTATCATCGAAAGAACTACAATGTTCATAAGCAGCTTAAGTCCAGAAGTCATTAAATGGCCGAGTGAGGTGAAAAAACGTGAAGCTGCAAACTTTTTCAATAATAAATGCGGATTTGCAAAAGCAATAGGTGAGTAGCATATGTATGTGGTCAAATAGTCAGTCGTAAATTATTACATATGCAAATTTTTCCATGTTTAAGGGTGCATAGACGGAACGCATATAACAATTGATCCGCCGGCCGAAAACAAAGATGAATACATTGACCGAAAGGGCAACATGTCTTTGTGCNCTTTTTCAATAATAAATGCGGATTTGCAAAAGCAATAGGTGAGTAGCATATGTATGTGGTCAAATAGTCAGTCGTAAATTATTACATATGCAAATTTTTCCATGTTTAAGGGTGCATAGACGGAACGCATATAACAATTGATCCGCCGGCCGAAAACAAAGATGAATACATTGACCGAAAGGGCAACATGTCTTTGTGCGTGCAAGCTATATGTAACGATGAAAAGAAATTTATAGACGTTTTCGTAGGATTTCCTGGTTCGAGCCATGATAGCTGGGTTTTCCAAAATTCGCCTACATATGAAAATTTGTCATCTCTGTGTGGAGGTAATATATGGTCAAAAGCAATAATCGCTTCAGTGGGAAGGCCGCCTTTACTGTAGTGCACCATTTGGAATTCTTATTTAACCTACAAGAATTCCTAAATGTGCTTTGTTGAAAATATAGATAGAGTTTATGGAATTAAAATTACTATTTCACATTCATTTGCCAAAGTGAAATGTGACGTGTGCAATCAGAAATCTTTAGTGGAGCAGTACACCAAAGCCCTTTAACTTAAGCGATAATTGTTCTTAAAATAACGGAAAATTAATTACAGAAATTAATATATATTTTTTTGTAGAATACTATTTGCTTGGTGATTCAGCTTACCCATGCAGTCAGCATCTTTTAACGCCGTACAAGGATAATGGTCATTTGACCAACGCGCAAAGACACTTCAATAGAAAACTTAGCACAGGTCGTATTGCTATTGAACACTGTTTTGGAATTCTTAAGCAGAGATTTCGACAATTATATTATTGTAAGCTCAGAGGAATTAAAAAGCTATGCCATTTTGTAAGAGCGTGCTGTGTTTTACACAATCTCGCCAACCTGGATGACATCGAATTCATACCAGAAGAGAACAGTATTGAAAATGATGAAAACGAACAGCCTGGGACATCACGAAGAAACGCTTTAAGAGATTTGATACGCCAAGATTTGTATTCCAATTGGCAGCAATAATACTTAAAATACATACGTACATATATTTTTTCAAAAAACAACTTTTAATTTCATATATGAGATCAATTCACAAAGAGTGGGAGATATGAAAATTCTTAAATATCTAAAAAAAAGTATCAAAAATTCACTGAAGACCACAATTGAGCGGTTGGTGATTTTTTTTTTAATACTTGCGATGTTTTCCAAATTATGATTTATTTGGTAATTTTGAGATTTTTTTTATATGGTTGTGGTTATAGTATAAACAACATGTATTTGTAAACAAAATTAACAAATAAAACCTAAGTTTAAAAACATCGGAAGTATTAAAAAAATCACATACACTGGAGATCAGTACTGAGTGAAAAACTCGGTGTATATTTGCAATTGTTCATGCTTTAATCAAAGCTATATAGATCAAAGTTTCAAAGCTTATCCAAAATTAGGAAAATTAAAAAAAAATTTTATCAAAATTTTTAACTTTTCAATCTGAATCTTTAGAAAATTTTTGGGTATGCAGTTACATACCTCATAATTACTACAGATCGTCGGCTAAGAAATTGCGTTGATTTTTAGTAATTATGAGCTATGTAACTGCATATCAAAAAATTTTCTAATGATTCAGATTGAAAAGTTAGAAATTTTGATAAACAATTTTTTGAATTTTCCTAATTTTTGATAAGGTTTGAAACTTTGATCTATATAGCTTTGATTAAAGCATGAACAATTACAAATAGAATTTACAAAAAAAGTTTCACTTGAAAATTATTGTGAATACCTAAAAAACACCATTCACTGAGTATGGATCACCAGTTTACATATGTAAAAAATTAAATTAACTTCAAGAAAAAAACCATTTTAAAAAAGAATTTCCACGAAAAAAATGTATAGCCTAACTATCGGGCCTTCGCTTAAGAAAAGCCTCTAGCAGTTCCATTTTTTCTTGGCCATCTCCTCCCTCAACTGAGCCTTTTCTTCCTTAAATTGCATGTGCTTTAAAACGCCTTCATTTAATTTTTTTTGCTCCTCCAGCAGGTTCTCCAAAGTTTATTGCATTTTCCCTTGGTAACTAGTGGCTTTTTTTTTAGTGCAGAACTAGGGACGTCATCCGTAATAAACATAATTGCTGTATTTATTGGTATACATATGTATATTGATACAAAATTCGAACTTTGTAAAAAATTAGAAAAATTCAACAAAATTTTACAACAAACTTTTTATTAAGAATTTTTAGAAAAAATCGAATTACGCAGTTGTATAGCTTTGTTTGATGTTTTTTTTTTTGCTGACGGTGTCACGCATTTTTATGGAAGAAAATTCGTGTCAGCAAAAAAAAAATTATCAAAAATCAACTCGAATTCTTAGCCACTTGAAGCTTGCACTTTCTGAAGCTAGAATCTAATGGGCTATAAATCTGCATACTTCGATTTTTTTCTAAAAGTTCTTAATAAAAAGTTTGTTGTACATAGTTTGAAATATGGACTTTTATGGTTTTAGGGAGATAATGACATTTTTTTATAATAAATAACAAACGAAAAAAGATACCGGATAAAAATGTCGTGTACCTATTATTTTTCACATGTCTGTATATACCATATATGTTAGCAAAAACACTACCTTGCATTGGTTGATCCAAGTCGGAAGCGCTCTCGGACAAATAAGGCTCGGTTACGTCTGCACTGTGCAAGGAATAACTGGCGTTTACTGAATGCCTTTTCCCCAAAATATCATTCAACTCACTAGATACCAATAAAAGATGTTAAAAATAAAAGCAATAATTTTATTCTGGTTCAAAATACAAACCTTTGATAAGGACAAGTTTCCCTGTTGCTGCCCGTTCTCCTATTATGCAGCATCGTTTTTTTAAATTGTCTCTCAAGACCGCGAAACTTGTTTTCAATCTGTACGCTTGAAAAATTATAGCCCTCAAACGCCATTCTCTCCTCTATGATCTTCCACATCTTGGTTTTATCTTTTACCTGCACCGATTTGCCCACCTTCGGCTGAAGCTCCTGCAGCAACGATAGCATCAACTTCGTTGGTGCTTCCAGCCAAATCATTTTTGGCCCCTCTTCGCTGGGCTGAATTGGCGTAAAATCTTCTTCAGCTGCTACGCTTTCCTGGCTCAACGCTGAGTGTTCAACCGGTGTAAACACCAGTTCGCTTACCGTGCTGTCTTGGCCCTTTAGAACCTCGCCAATTATTTCCCTCCTATAATTTTCATCTGCGAACAACAAAATAATTAAACGATTGCTTGGAAAATGCTTAGTTATTTGTACAATGATTTTGTGTTATGAAGCGGAGTGTAGGGGGTGTGGCACCTAAAACCCCACCACTTAGAAAGAGTACAGTCCAAACTTTAAGAAAAGCCATACTTCTCCTCTCTGACCCCTCTACAGACCTAGGGGGCCATTTGAAAATGGGGTAAAATTAACATTCCAACATAGAAATTGTCAACTCGGGATATGCCATGTATTTTTGCGTAGAACTTCTTTATGAGTAGGGGCCTTCGGGCGCGCTTAGGGATTATAACCCTTACTAAGTATAATTCTCCTTTCTGTGTTGCTAATATCGAAGGTATACAACATGCACGCCATCCACAGAATTTTCGCGCAGAACCCACATCGAAATTTACAAAAAGTGCATACATCAAACCGAATCTATTAATGAACTATTGCTCAGGATTTGAAATCTCGTTTGTAAATTAAAGCTTAATGCTTTGGCTACACGTGTGTATTTAAGTTTTTAGATTCGGGTCAGGCGTTTGGACACAACAACCAAAAATCATTGTAAAAATAACTAACCGAAAACGATAGCTTTACTCCTTCTGATCTTTAAACACATATCTATGTAGCTTACCACTTTGTATGCGTTGAAAAGTTCCAGGAGAACAGTTTACACTTAATTGGCTGTCCATTTTTTGTTTAAACAAGTCTTTAATCTTTATATTAATACGCTAACATAAATTTGGTCTCCGTTCGTTTGGCGATTCTACCGAACCGATTTCAAAACCAAGAACACCGTTGGAAAGGCATTTTTCCGTATATGAGCAGGGTTTTTATGGTTTCACAATTGGTTGAAAATTACGGCCAAAACCGTTGTTTAAACATTTTCGAATTGTGTATAGATGTTGCTGCAACATGTTCAACTTGTTTTGCCTGTTGTTTCACTACACATTTGAAATTAAGCTTTGAAATAAAGATAAATATGAAGATGAAGAAATAAATGAGAACGATGAAGTCAAAAAAAGGGCAAAATTGAAGATAAAGACGAAAATGGAGACAATGACAGATGCATAAGAATTAGGGTAACTAAGAGGGTAAGAACATTTCTTGAATTTATGAAGTAAACTTCTTTGGCGGCAGTTGGTTGGTTGGGAGTAAATTGTCAAATTCAAGGGGAATAATGCACATGGAAATGGTTCTGAGCGGTTTAGCGCTTTGAGAATAAAAACAAAAACAAAGATGCCTAGAGGTACAGGCAAAAACGAAGATCAAAGCAAATTTAAACACTTTAAGGTAAAGGTGAAGAGGAATATGCAAAAATAAAGATAAATATGAAGAAAGGGATGAGGATGAAGATCGATATTGTTATCGATATAATCCCGATATTTTTATCGATATAATAATCGACATTGCTATCGATAAAATAATCGNATCAAATCATCGAAATTTATCGATAAACCTGAATGTATCGGGCCAATTCCAAGTCCTGCCGAAGTCCTCCAAAGACCTTCTCAGATAAAAAAAAAAAATTAGTTACGTTTTAGCAGAAGATTTTCCGGCTAGTTAATTTGTACCTTATAAGTATCGTTACGTGTTAAGTTAGAAAACCTCTCCAAGGCTTCTAAAACTAGAAAAACTGTCGAATTTCGACTGTAACTGGAACTCTAGTAAACAATAAAACAGCGTTCATTAACTTTGCAAATCACCAACTATGTAAACAAACAAAAGTTGACGTTTACATTAGATTTGACAGTTTTACCAGATTGTACCCGAAACCGTTCCCGTACTTTTTGGTTTTTCTCTCTTTCTCTGAGAGTAATTTTGCTTTTTGACAGTTTTACAAGTTTTATCCCGAAAAGTTGAGGAACGAAACTATGTATTCATTTTTACTATGGGGGTATATATAAATTCAAAACTTTAAGCCTTTTTTCTCGAGTTTTTTGGTTTTTGAGTTATGACAGTACTAAAGTAAATATGCAATATGTACATACATACACATGTTTTTAATCTGAAGTCTGTTTTTATTTTCATAAAGTGTGCATGTAGGAATAAATTAAGTTTGAGTTATTGAAAAATGTTGCTTTTCTTACTTACAATGAAACACATAAATAAAATTTTTATTTATTAAGTAGTTATGGAAAAATCAAATTATTGGTTATTTTCAAAACATACGTATTTACATACATGGCATTTTTTCTAACTCTTTTGCTTCCGTTTATCAAAAGGCAAATATTTTGCTTTGCGACAACAGTAGACGTTCGGATACTCACTAGTGATGTAAAACTTCGATACTTTCAAGTATCGATCGATACTCGATTCTGTGGAAACAAGTACCGAATAAAAGTATTCGATACTCGATACTTTTACAGTATTCCGTTAAAAATCCCTTATACCAAAACCGATAAAAATCTTATGAATTTTAATCTTATGTTCTTACTCATATGGCCGGTTGTTCAATGTCTAGCTTTCACTCCTTGCTGGTTAAACATCATTTTCGACGTTTTCGACATCATGCGTATAATATATGATCGATAAAGCAGTCGTTGTGTTTAACCAGAGCTTCCTTCTACCTCCGATTAATGCTAATCAGACATTGAACAACCGGCCCATAGCGACTCTTTTTTAGTAAAAATGTTTTCAATCGAAAACATTGCATAAAAACTACTGAACTGCCGTTGAAGCATATTGTTACACTTACACTTACCATAAATAATTTGTAACTATTTCAGCTATTTGGGGATATATTTTTCCCGTTCTTTCCACCACGCGAGCAGATCTTTATTGGCTCTCCAATAAATCTTCTTGAATATGTTGATTACCCCCGACTATGGCAGACGCTAAAAACCTTTTGCGAGCTTGCATAGATTTTTGATCAAAATCACTCCAAAGAGAATTGCCGTTTGTTTGATCCACGTTGTGTTCCGGTGAATTATCATTTTGAAGCCTGATTACATACTTCTCCTCAACCAATGTAAATTTTGCAACCCGTTACTTTGCTTTGGTGACGCTTGCTATGAAAATATATTTTAACGATCATATTTGAGTATCGAAGTACCGACATAATTTTATTAATACTGATCGAATACTCAAATCGCTCAATAGTATCAAATACATACTATTCGATACTCGATACTATTCACAACACTAATACTCAGTGTGTTTCGTTAGATATTCGCACACTCATTGGCGGCAGTACAACTGTCTCTCTTGTACAACATGTGTTTTTTTATTTTTAGCCGACTTCCAAAAAAGGAGGTTATCATTTCGTCGGAACATTTTTTTTATTTTTTTTATGTATGTTACCCGCATAACTTTATACCACGTCAACCGATTTCGATAATTCTTTTGGCTGAGCCAGTGGGATCGTCGGTTCGAATCCTACTGAAAGAAGTCTGATGAGGAAATGTGGTGATTTCCGAAATAGCTATCACTTCTACCATTTTTTCAAATTATTGTTGCTTTTCCACAATAAATTTTCATTTAAAAAATGGCCTCGAGCTCATTATAAAATTGTTGAATATAATTGTTAAAAGGCCAAAAAATAACAAAAAACAAATAACTTAAGGACGAGCACACCTAAAAGTTAAACATTCTAAAAATAGAATTAATAACAAAAAACCAACAAAACCAACAACCACTTGATCAAGTGTAAATCGTAGCGGAATAGCTGCGCTTGATTTTGTTGGATTAGCAAAATGAAAAAGTGGGAAAAAAGCAACGATAATTTACAAGGCTAACTTAGCACAGAGCGTAGGCAACTGGCTGAGCTAGAGGGATCGTCGGTTCGAATCCTACTGAAAGAAGTCTGATGAGGAAATGTGGTGATTTCCGAAATAGCTATCACTTCTACCATTTTTTCAAATTATTGTTGCTTTTCCACAATAAATTTTCATTTAAAAAATGGCCTCGAGCTCATTATAAAATTGTTGAATATAATTGTTAAAANTTTAGTCCTGTCTGAATAAAATTTTTTTTAAAATAATTCAACGATATTAATAGAAAGGAGCACACACATGCATTTACATATGTATAGCTATCACTTCTACCATTTTTTCAAATTATTGATGCTTTTCCACAATAACTTTTTCATTAAAAACGGCCTTGAGCTCAATAAAAATTGTTGAATATAATTGTTATAAGGCTATAAAATAACAAAAACATATATTATACATATACATTTTATGAGAATTGAAGCCGTTTTTGGTTTTTAGGTAAAAATTACTTGTTGTTCCAAGAAAGCAGTACTCACTATTCTCTGCACACGCATTCATTCATCTTGCTTGCTAAGGAATGAATGACCAAACAGTGTGGAGCGCAAACGACTGTCTCATAAATGCCAACCACTAAATTCATGCAGCTGTCTAATATATAAAAACGTTTCTTATTCAACCTCCTTTTGAAGAATCTAAGTTAACGATACAGGATAAAACAACCAATAACTGGTTCTATCATAATCATCATGGATTAAAATGGGAAGATGGTGATTCGACTNCAATAACAACGTTTCTTATTCAACCTCCTTTTGAAGAATCTAAGTTAACGATACAGGATAAAACAACTAATAACTGGTTATATCATAATCATCATGGATTAAAATGGGAAGATGGTGATTCGACTTTAATGAATTATTGAATATATCCATACATTAATGAAAAGAAAAAATTACATATTCTTTGCTAAAGAATTGGAGAAAATCAAATGGATTCAACGTTTATTCGGATAGGATATTATTTTATATAATTTATATGATTTAAATTGTTCAAATTTAAAGAATTTATATAATAAAAATATAAATATAAATACTTGTCAATATCATAAGAATTCTGTGATGTGTGCTGAAAAAAATGTAATAACATTAAGAAAATTTATTTCTTCATTAAATATCTATATATATAAAACAAAAACAAGGTCGTGTTAGTTACACCATTGAGAACTCAAGAACGGCTGGACCGATTTTAATGATATTTGTTTTTTGAATTTGTCTACTTTCCGAATAGCAGAATAACTATTACAACAACCGCTAGGTGGGGCTGGAGTCGAGTTATTAGTTAAACCCGTATTTTAGGTCCGATTCGCCTCATATTTGAGATATGTATTGACAATAGAAAAACAACACCATTGCAAAAAAAGAGACGCCAGGTGGCGATGGAGTCGAGTTATTACTATAAATCGGGTTTATGGTCCGATTATCCTCAGATTTAAAATATGTATTTATAACAGGAAAAATAATTCTATCGAAAAAATTTGCCGCCAGCTGGCGCTGAAATTGAGTTGCATATGTATACGTAACTAAAAATCGTATTTATGCCTGAATTTATTTCATTATCGATATATATGAATTCACATATCGATGGTCCTCTGCATTAACGACACAACTCAAAATTCAAAAAATTAAATCCCTTATTACTGTTGAGAGACTCGTGTCTCTAATCCTTGGCTAACCCATGTCTAATCCTAACTAAAATAAGTTGTAAAGATTATACATGAATAAGACAACAAGTAAAGACTGGGCCACTTAACAATTATACGAGTTTTTATTCTTTGAATTTTGAATTGTGTCGGCATTGTAGAGGACCATCGATATTTTTATGATAGCAAAAGATACATATGTATGTATACTTTTGCAAAAGAACTAAAATTCATTCGGAAACCGCCGTTTACGAACAGCTTTATCTATATATATAAAAATTAT